TCAACGGTTATGCATTTGAAAAGAAATTGAAAATGTCCAAGTCGTGTGAATTGCAAATGAGAGTGAGTAGAAGAACAAGGAAGGTGGCGAGGCTGTGGGTGATAGCGAGGGCGATAGTGATAATGATGATGATGACGATGATGACTGTGAGTATGTGCCATGCTGCTCACTTGTAAATGCTTGACTTGTGTGACACGAGTACCTATTTGTCTTGAGTTCGAGTCCTTACCTCATTTCATTTTTCGTGGAGGAGCTCTATAATCGGCAGTTGTAATCAACAATTGAAAACAAATTGAAAATGTCCAAGTGGTGTGAATTGCAGATGAAGGTGAGTAGAACAAGGAAGCTGGCGAGGGCGATAGTGATGATGATGATGATGACGATGCTGATGATGATTGTGAGTATAAGTCATAGTAGTCACTTGTTGATGCTTGACTTGTGTGACACGAGTACGTATTTGTCTCGAGTTCGAATCCTCGTCTCATTTCATTTTTTCGAGGAGGAGCTCTCGAATCGGCGGTTGCTATCAACGGTTGTGCAATTGAAAAGAAATTGAAAATGTCCAAGTCGTGTGAATTGCCGATGAAAGTGAGTAGGAGAACAAGGAAGGTGGCGAGCTTGGGGGTAATATCGAGGGCGATAGTGATGATGATTATGATGACGATGATGATGATTGTGAGTATGAGCCATGCTACTCACTTGTTGATGCCTGACTTGCGTGACACGAGTACCTATTTGTCTCGAGTTCGAGTCTTCGCCTCATTTCCTTTTTTTGAGGAGGAGCTCTCGAATTAGCGGTTGTAATCAACAATTGTGCTATTAAAAAGAAATTGAAAATGTGGTCCCTCTGGTCCTCTCTTTTAGACCTTGCCCCGTCGAAGTCGTGTGAATTGTAGGACAGTTCTGCCTTACCAGCCTCCAACTACTGTTTGAGCCTGCAGATTCTGCGGCATGAGAAATACGCAAAGACAAATAAATGAAGCAAATATCTTGTTCAAGCCCTCTCTTCGGACAGTTCTTTGGCCGATCCAACTTGTACGCCCCATCCGGAGCACAACGCATCGGTTAAGGAGAACGTATCTTGGACCTTTGGACGCCTGCAGAAGCATTAATTTCCCGGTTGACATGCAGCAGGCGGACAGCAGCTGCAGACCTTGTGCTTGTCGAAGCGCAAAACATGACAGGAAATTATGTTATAATTATTATTATCATGCAAGAGCCTACGACTAGGTCGGGTCCATGGGGTGTTGGGGTGGTGAAGATGTGGACCTGTAGACTGCAGCCTCCAGGCCCCGCAAAAGAGATGCACTGACACACCCCTCACACACCAACATATACACTCACAGTTGCACAGACGTCCCGGCGTCCTTTGCTTTGGTCTGAACACATGCATTCCAATTCATAATGAATGTTTCTGTGGAAGGCGGACAAAACTTGGTCTCATGACTCATTCTGGTCCAGTCGACTTGACATGGTCTTTGAGACGAGATAATCGTCGGCCTCCCCTCTCCACTGCGACTTTCCATTCGTCCCGCTCTCTCTCCTCCCCTTCATCGGTACAACAAATGACATGCCCAACTCGGGTGCCCATAGCTCTCCCCCAGCTCGGGGTGGCAGCTTGCCGGCCCATTCTTGTCTCGTCTGTCGATTGTGCAATTACAACCTGGTTAC